CCAATTATCATCCTCCATGTTCCCCAGGGCAGCATTGATCCCTCCCTGAAAACGAAAATCCATTTTCCCAGAATTACATTACTCAAATACAGCTTTAGTAGGCTTACCTCCTTTCTATTACCACATACACAGCACTGTACAAGAAATAAAGTCAAGCCAGATTTAATGTGACTGTGAAAAACCTGTGAAACTCCTCAGTTTCACAATGGTTTGTCCTGCTTTTTTGTGTAACACAGTGAATAACAGTTACACTATAGTCAGAGAAGCAGCACTACATTTTGATCATGTTTAGACATGGGAAAGAAAAAAGGTGGAATATAATGCAATAAAAACGTAAGGGGAAATAACGATTTTAAGAACAACTGCAAGTGAGATTAAAAAAATGTATCTTGCAACATCATTAGCTTGGAAGCAAAATGAAATGTACTTGTTACTTAATATAAAGTCTAGCAATGATAAGTTCATGGTTAAGCTCTTATGATCTTAGAGCTTATTGATCCTGTGATTTTATTATGTATTGCTCTCTAAAAAATTTAGTTTCAACTAAAAATGCGATTTTTATAAAAAGAAGCATGGCCTTGAAACAAGAGGTTCAAGTGCCTGTGCTCAAAGCCAGGTTGGATGGGGTTCTGAGCAATCTAATGTAATGTGTGGAATCTCTGCCCATGGCAGGGACACTGGAACTGGGTAACCTCTAAGGTCCCGTTCAACCCATTCTACATCCAAATCAGTTTTCTGACAGCAGGCATTCCTTAAACACTTGTTCTGCCTCATTTCTCACCTGTGCAGCAACAGTATGAGAGCGGGTGGGGAACAGCTTGGTAACACAGGCTGTGTTAAACCCAGCTTCTGACAAGCCAAAGGCTGCCCGCAGACCTGCTCCTCCTGCACCCACAACAACTGCATCGAACTCATGGTCCACTACTGGGTATTGCGTAGAAATCTGGAAAAATAAATTACTTTTTATGATCACAAATAGTTCAAGGAAAGTCAAACAAGTTCCATAAAAACACAAGCAGGATCATTATTATGTTCTCAACAGACTTTTGCAGCAATTGCTACATCTGTTATACTCTCTTGAATGGAAACAGTCATTAAAAAGAGCCACGCATTTCAGCAGCTCAGTCTCACGAAGCACTTGAACACAGCGCTCCACTAAAAGCCTGGAAGTTTTGTGTCTGTCAAGCACTAAGTGCATCATTGAATCACAGTATAAAAAGTACAGACATACCGAGTCAGACACCTTCGTGGAGGCATTTTTCTTCCCGTAGACTGTGAAGTGTAAGTTCCGTGCAGGAGCCTGGCATGCTGCTGGCCACTGCAGAAAGAAGCCAAGACAACCATTATGGAATAAACGTTTCCACAGGACAGACTTATGGCACTCTCAGTTGCCCTACATTTTTAACAAATCTTCACTTACCACCGGTAGCACATGTACAAGAGTATTAATGTATTTCAGAGCTACGCAAAGTTCTGGCTTTCCTATAATCGTGCCATATAAACAAAAATATTTGACTGATGAGAGAATAGCCTGCAGTTAACAGGGTGTCCCAGACTATGCATTATTGACTTCACCAACAGTGACCAGCCTCTCAGACCTGTCTGAGGCTGCGCAGACAGAAAAATACGTCTGCAATTAATGCGGAAGTTTTCTTGCAGTTTTTTTCATAATTAAGCAAAGATGAAGCTTTGTGAGAACCGTGGGAAGTAATGGAAAACTACTCTCCTGTCAAGTAATCCTCAGAATTTGAATTATTTCAGGCAGTCACAGTACTGAAAATTAAAAAAGGTTGTAGAGAATGCTCTTCCAGTTGAGCATTGCTTCAAAAGCCAGAGATATTTCTCTTTTTCTTTATTAAATTAGTGACCAATTTAGAACCATTTATTAATACACAAACTTAGTACAAGGATGCAAGTTTTACCCTTCTGCAACGTCATTCCCTACCCCTTGACTTGTTCAAAACCAAACCAAACCAAACCAACAAACACCACACCCAAACCTACTCAGTATGCAGTCTTAGCTTTGATAGATTAAAACAATCAGAATGTTAGTCTCCACCTCTCCAATGTATTGGAACCTGGTATGCTTTCTTTACACAGTTCAAAAAATAAGCCTAACTCAGCATGTATGACTGTTAAGAACAGCAACACAAAGCCATATTACTTACCTCTCCAGTAACATCAGCACTTCCCTATCAGAAATATAACCTAAAATGCACTGGAGTAATATCTGCAGCTGTTACATTCATGGTCTCACCACCTTACAATATGCTAACAAGCAGCTCTTCCCTCCCCTAATGTCCACCTCTTCCCCATCTCTGAAGTGAACTTCAGTACACTTTCTTCAACCCAGTTTTATCGTCTCTATTACCAGTTTCCTCAAATTATCTTCTTGCATAACAGCAGATCTACTGTGTCATACTTGCTAGCACATTTCTGGTTTCTGCAGCCGTCTTGGAATGAGATCAGTTCCTAACACGTATTCACAGAGTTCCACCAGTACTCTCCAGGAAGCTCCTTTCTCCCTGTTCCATACTGCTATTACCAGGCTCTGAGCTCGAACAAAAGTCCACAAAGCAGAAGAAGATATCACATTAAGTCTAAAGGAAACACTGATTGCAGTAATCCTGAATTGTTATGCCACCAGGAAGATCCTGGCCCTTTTGAAACTAAAGGTCCAATCAGGGCCAGCTCACTGCCATCTAAAATATGGAAATACTCTTTAAGCCTTTTCCTCTCTCTCTATTTGTCTTCCCTGCACTTGCTTTGCAACACAAGTACAACTACAGCTGATTTTATAATCCCAAGCTCATTATGGGCATGCAGGTTGAGAACAGTGGGGAGAAACTGAAAACTCCCACCTCACCACGGAGAAGAACCAGCCTTCACGCACAATTTACAGCCCCCTAACAAAAATCTACCAGACTGCTCAACAGCCCTTTCTGGGCACAATCACCAGCCAGGCTGAAGCAACCCAGATATACACTGGCTTCCCACACAGGTCTAGAATCACAGAACGCATCAGGCTCAGAAAGGTGTCCGAGACCATCGAGTCCAACCAATGACCAAACACCACCGTGTCAACTAGACCATTGCACTAAGTGTCACATCCAGCCTTTTCTTAAACGCTTTCAGGAATGGTAACTCCACCATCTCCCTGGGCAGCCCATTCCAATGTCTAATCACCCTTGCTGTGAAAAAAATTCTTCCTGATGTCCAACCTGAACGTCCCCTGGTGCAGCATGAGGCCATTTCCTCTCTTCCTGTCACCAGCTGCGTGTGAGACTGACCCCCATCTTGTTACAACCCCTCCTCAGGCAGCTATAGAGTGATAAACTCCCCCTTAAACCTCATTTTCTCCAGGCTAAACAACCCCAGCTCTCTCAGCCGCTCCTCACAGGACTTGTGCTCAGACCTTTCACCGGCTTCGTTGCCTTTCTCCAGACTCGCTCCAGCACCTCAATGTCCGTCGTGAATTGAAGGGCCCAGAACTGAACACGGCGCTCGAGGTGTGGCCTCAGCAGGGCCAAGTACAGGGGACAATCACTGCCCTGGTCCTCCTGTGCACACTATTGATGATACAGAGTGAGTCTAGGGCGAGCTTTCTATCCCTTGCTGCACTTGCCAGGCTCCTCCAGGGCCTTTCCCCAGCACATCCCAATTCCGCTGGCTCCCTCAAAACCCTGCTCAGGGCCTCAGGCTACGGCGCTCGCTTCCCAAGCCGGGAGGCGCGGCCCAGCCATGCCCACAGTCACCTACTCCCAGGAACCTGCCCCCGGGACACGAGTTACGAGGTCTGTGCTGCTCCAAAATAGCACCGGAGGAACCGAACCTACAGGGGCTGGAGAGATCACCGAGCGGGTCAAGGTCACGGAGAAGACAGCGGAGCCGGGCCGCCGCCGGCGGGATAGCAGGGCAAAAAACAAGGACAGGACAAGGACAAGGACGGGAACAAGAGCAGGAGCAAGGACAGGGACAAGGGCAGGGACTCACCGCCCGGGAAGCCGCGGACGGGCGCAGCCAGCGCTTCGCCAGCCCCCGCGCAGCCGCTGCCGCCATCACGCACCGCAGACTTCGGCGGGGGGGGCTGGGAGAGAGCGGGCGCGAAGGGCGCACGCGCGGAGATCGGCAGGCTAGACCAACACTGCCGCGAGGGGGGGCCCCCAGGGCAATCTCACTCCACCCAAGAGACCTGCGCGATGGAAGATTCCTAAACAGCTCCTGGTTTGAGAGTAAAGAACATAAAAAAAAAATCCTAGAATTGTGTTACTGCTGTTGTTTTTCCTTGTTGAAATATTGAAACATGTAGGTCTCCAATACTGTAAGATTCAGCCTTTTTGTCTCTCTGACATGGCCTGAAATTTTGCGTAATAAACAGGCCAGAATCGTTCTCTGAAGTTGTGGGAAAGACCATTTCACAGACATAAGATTTGGACAGGAGGGTGAAGGGAAGACCGTACTGTCTGTCTAGGACAAAAAGTAGACTCATCAGCTCCAGACGCTGGAATTCAGCTCACGGCTGCCCGTAGCACACCGCGTTAATGGAACAAAAAGGGCCCGCCGGGGGCGGGCACAGACGGCCGGCAGCGCTCCAGCCTCGGGCGAGTCCTTCTGTTGTCTCCCCCCCTCCCCCTTTTTCTCCCGACGGATGGGCCGGCCCGGGAGGGGGCGGGGCCGGCAGGTGAGTGGCAGCGCCAGGGGTCCGCGCGCTCCCGGGTTTGTGCGTGGGGGTCCCGCCGTGAGGGGAGCGGCACGGGCACGGGCATGGGCACGGGCATGGGCACGGGCATGGGCATGGGCATGGGCATGGGCACGGGCACGGGCACGGGCACGGGCATGGGCTCGGGCTCGAGGTGCCGTGTCGCGGCCGGGGCTGCACTCAGAGCGCGGCCAGGCTCCCAAGTGTCGGGGCCGACGTTCGCGGGGCTCGGGCAGAATTCCCAGTCGCCCAGCGGGAGCGACCCCGGCCCCTGTGCGCGCTGCTGAGGCCGCGTCTCCCTTGTGTGCATCGCAGGTGCCTTCATGAATAACTTAAACGACCCTCCCAACTGGAACATCTTGCCCAATCGGCGCGATCCCGGCGATGACGGCAGCCGGTGGAATTACGCCCTGCTGGTCCCCATGCTGGGCCTGGCCGCCTTCCGTGAGTAGGGACGAGGGGGCTCCCGAAGAGTGCGGTGCGAGAGCCATGCCCCGTCTGGGGACTTCCCCAGGCCTTCTTGTTTGTAGCGCTGTAAATAACCAGCGCTGTTGGTACCGCTAAGGCAAAGACCACTTTTCGTACACGGAGTCGAATCCATATTTAATAAGCTTCAATATACAAAGCTCTCTCAAGAAAAATGGGCACAGGATGTGCTGGAGAGCCCAGAGATGTTGCTGATATTTATTTACTGGCCCTAGAAGGTTCTCCATGCAGTATCTGCATCGGAAACCTCCAGTTTGTTTCTCCATGATCTTATTTTCCTTCTCTAATCTAAGTAGTGCTAATACAGACAATAAAAGAAAAAAAAATATTTTATTTTATTTTAGAGAAAGCGTGATCATTTAAAGTGACTCACTGTGAAGTAGGGATCACGGAAATACATTTTGTGGGGACATGTAAATTGGAATGTCACTGGGAAGGGCAAAAAAGGAGGTTTTTTACCACTTAGTAGCTTAATTTCAGACATAGCTAATTAATCATAGCCCTCATTGTTACATGTTATACTTGCATCTGAGGTCTCATTTATATGTGATAGGTTGGATCTGGACCAGAGAATGTCAGAAAGAAATAGAAAAAGAAAAGCAGGAGTACTACAGAAAAGAGTCAATATTACAGAAAGACCTGGAAGGCAAATACCGGGATATAATCACGGAGAATCGTCGTGCTGTTGCTCATCTGGAGGTGGAGCTGGAAAAGGAACGCAACAGGACCCTGAGTTACCGTGAAGCCCTCGTGTCCCAGAGCCGCAAACTAGTAGAAGAGAGGAAGCTCCTAGAACAGGAGCAGGAGAAGTTGGAGCAAGAAAAACAAGTCCTTATGCACTCTGGAGCAGAAGGTACCTTGTACCAGAGATGCCTGGCAAAGGAAGAAGAGTGGCAACAGAGAGCCAATATTTTACTTAAAGAATTTGAAGAGGGACTGAAGGAAAGACAGGACATCTACTGCAGTCTTATTGTACCCAGAAGTCAGAGACTAGAAATAGAGAAAAATCTGCTAGTTAAAGCAGCAACTAATCCTGTTGCTATGGCTTTAGATGTGGAGAGTGGTTTAAAAGATATTTTCAAACATGATAACTACTGTGGGAATGTGCTGAACAGAGCCAGAAGTCAAAATGGAAAGCTTATGTGGCTGTATCTGAGATACTGGGAACTAGCTGTTGAACTGCAGAAATTCAAGAGGGTAGAAAAGGCCATGTTAGGAAAACGCTAGGCCGGGGAAGCAGTGGGATTCCATGTGATCCACCATGCATGGTAGGGACAATCACAGTTGTAGTCCGAAGCTGTTAAATTTTTCTGCTGTGTTGCTGTCTCTCGTCCTTCTTGCACTTGTATTTGCATGGGACATGTGCAGTGCTGGTGCCTTTCCTCTCACTAACAACGGATGCTCTGGTGAGCTATGCATGCTCCTAAACTCTGTGAGTGTGTTTGTGTTGCAGTACAGAGATACGCCAACTCCCCAGGTATCAGAAGCAGCAGAACAGAACTCATTTTATAGGGATTTGCCGTGCTGATGGTCACACTCCAGCAGCAGGGAATGGTCATTTGTCTGCTCCAGGTGTGGCAGCACATTGTGCTCCTTATCCCTGACATTTTACATGGTGCCTCAACACTGTCTTTTCTTATTATTTTTTAAAAAGTTGTTTAAGCAAGACTGATTTTGAGGCAGATGTTTGAGAGAGATGGTGTTGAAGTCAGCTGCTTGACACATAAATCCTACGTGTCCGTATGTACAATTATATAAATATATATATGTGTGTGCGTATGTGTTAGTATTCTGAGAGGGGGAATAGTTTGATCCTGTTTCAGATTAGTCAGTCCTGCATTTCTTCCAGCTTAATATACAAATAGTGCTTTATAAATTAAACATCCAAAAGATGCTGATTCAAGTAACACAGAAAGAAACAGACTGATGTCTCACTGGCACTTCTGATCCATTCTCAGACTCTAGTGAGTGTATAAATTGGAAGTTATGTTTTCATGTATTGGAGATACCTTAAGAATACTTGGTTTTCCCTCAGTCAGGGTTTTAGTTGTACCACAACAATGTGCCACCATTATGGATGTCCCCGTGCTGCTGCTCTCCCTCTCAGGGCATTGGCTGCCTCTTGGCCTGCTTGCAGGAACCTACTCGCCATTGCACCTGGCTCTGCACCTTGGACAGGTCCTGTTGGACCATTTGCAGATGGGAACCTAAATGCAGCCTGCACTTGTAGCCACTACTCCCTCTGCACCTGTCTCCCTTCTCTCAGAACTGATGTACATGCTCTTTTCTGCAGCTCTGAAATTTTGTGCTTGTGGTTCACCACTTTACATACACGACCATGAAAGCCTACAGATATACAAGCTTTGCAAACTTTAAAGAAAGGGGGCTTTTTAATTTAGCTAGTAAAATAAAATAGATTTGGTAAAAATAAGTACAGTGAAATAATACAGGAAAATAAACAGATCCAGATTAAAAAATCCAACAACAAACAACTTTTAAGAACCCAGTGCATTTCAATTTCTTAGAACTTTGAGTATACTTCAGGTCCTTTTAGCAGTAAGAACCGCCTTTTTTTCAAATGTGCCATGTATTTAAAATAATAACAATTTTTTCTTCCCCCTTTCTAATCCAGCCTTAGACCTCAAAGGGGCAGTGTTTACCCTTTCGTTTATAACATCTAGTCTTCTCTGTTACCTGACTTTGATTAGTGCTGGTAGGTTGTCAGTTCATTAATTAGCAGTTTATTATTTACTTAGGGCTCGACTTGACAAATGCATTTGCTCTAAGCAATCATGTAGAACCGTGGAAGCAATCCAAGCTAAGTGAATGCCCATCTTCCTGCAGATGTGGGGTTTTTCTCTTACTATTTTCTCCTGGTTTCATTTTAGTCTGAGCACAGAAGACAGCAGATAAATCTTTTGAAACAATGTGCACGACTTAATCCAGTTACTAAACAGAAATATCTAACATGGAACATAATTCCTGAGCAGGATAGATGTTTCCCAACTATTCGTTTTTTCAGTTGAGATTTTGCTCACTTTTGTAGTACTAATTATACTGTTGTATTGACTTACTAATCCTTTTTTCATACAGATTCTTTTAATGAAGTTTTAGGAGACAAACTTGGACAAAAAAAGAGATCACAGAAGGGCCACATTTTATCTGGGTGCCAAGCATATGCAGGTTGGGAGATGAGAACACAATTGAGTTGCTACTCGTGTGTGACACCCTGAGCCAAGCTGCTGCAGCTGGACATAGGCACACAATGTAATTGCCCAGGAGAACAAATTAGTTTGAATAACTTGTGTGTAGTTACTAAAACCTGTAATTTGAATAACAGTCCGTGTGTAATTCCTTCAGGATGTGGAAAGTGGCCATCCAGCTGTGGCACACTTCACACATTCCTACAGGCAGCTAAGCCACTCAGCTGACTGAAAGCAGACAGTGAATCAGTGCCAGTGTATTTGAGATTCCTGCCTTGAATTTGTACAAGTTAGCATTAAAAGGTCAAAGATTTTATGCTTTTTCATTTTTTCATAGTTTGTCACTCATCACTCAAAATGTTTAAAGAAAATGTAATCAAGAGTAAAATACTATTTTTTCAGTATGGATATGTACATTGAAGCCTTATACAATTGAATGTTCAGGGTTGGACACAATGTAGTAAAGGTTTGTTAGTCACTTTCTCTTTTTTAGAAGTGTCATTTATTTGTACAACTAATTGAGCTATTGTTCATGGACTCTTTGAAGATCGTTGTATCAAAACAGAAGGGTTGTTTCAGAAGGCCTTTTAAAAGTTTGTAACTGATTTAGAAGCACTGGTCCCATTAGTTTCTACCAAAACTCATGTTTGTGGGTATGCAATGTATTTTTGAAATATTCACCCTTTGTAGGTTGTTATACTGAAAATTCTAATGTAAGTTTTATCTTGCCCAGCACTTGTTCTGAATTGGTTAGTTGTTTGGAACTGCCCATATTCATATGTAGAATGCAAGAATAATTTGTTTTCAAAGTATTTAATGAACTTATTTTTATTATAAAATTGTCACTCAGCTGTTAAACAATAACAATTAATAAAAACCTTTACGTATTTCTGCCCTGCTTTGTAACTTGGGCAAGGTGGGTGGAAGAAATAGAATTTGCTACTTTATTCAGACTTTCCAAACTAATCACACCATTTTAGGTTTTATGAATTGTACATTTTTTAAATGGGCAGTAAAAAGTTTTGGTCTTGGTACAGGGAAGCGAATATGTTATAAAGTTTTGTTCGTAGGAAAGAACACAGGTAAATGCGGAGCATTAACTAAAGATGTGGGGTTAAAGGTGACCATCCCTCTGAAAGACTGGGGACATTCCTTTGACACAATGTTGCGTAGGATATTCTGCCTTCCTCCAGAATCGCTCAGATGTCTCATTCTGCATGTCAGCTGCTTTTCATTTCCTTCATCTTCCTGCTCTCTGTGAAGAACTGCAGTGCAGCTGCTCTAGGACAGTGTTCAGACACTGGAAATCCTTGTTCTGTAATAAAAGATCCTCAATCTATTTGTATTTGACACAATCCTTCACCATCCCCTGGCTCTTTAAAACGTGGGTTTGAGCACTCCTGTATGAGGATGGGAAAACTGAGTGTTCCTCTGCAGGATACAAGGCAGAAACAGTGGTCAATGGTTCAGTTACTGTGGTGAAATCAAAGGAATTTGAGTCACTGCTTTGAAAAAAGGATGAAAGGCAAACTTAGAGTTGCAGTTGTGGTGCAGCTGGATAGGAAGGCTTTACTGGTGTGTATGCCAAGGCCCACATTTATTGGTCATTAATTTACTGCCTGGTCCAGCAGCTTTCCCTGGTCACTGCATATCTGAGACATCAGATGGACCTGCTAAGAAGTAACTCACTGAAATTTAGCATAGCTCAGCAATGAGGCAATGGCCACTTCACAGCAAAACAGCGGAGTGATTGCTGCAACAAAAACTGAAAGTAAAGTAAACTGAAAGTAAATGTGCTTCTGGAAACAAGGAGTCTGGGTGAAAAAGTTTGAAGAGATCTGGTGGATTGTGGGAACGGTGGTGGCAGCTGTTCACAGTCGTGCCCCCAATAGCCCTGTGCTGAGATCACCTGGGCTGTCCAGCTGCTGGAAAAATGCCTCTTCACTCTTATGTTCATAACAGGTTTATATGTCTGAGATAGCTCACCTCTAAACTTACCGCGATCAGAACAAAATCCTCAGCTGCTGTGGTTGATGCTTGTGTCACTGGATGCTGCTTCCCCCTTGTGGCTGAAGACTCTTCCCACTGGAGAACATCTCCTATTCCTACGCAGTCAGAGCTCTCGGGCCCAAACACCTCCGGGGGTAATAACAAGAAAGGTGACCAAAGGAGAATGAACTTGTCTCCACCGAGGTGGGTGCTGCGGCACACTGCTGTGCTAAGGCAGCAGGCAGGGGCTGGGTGTAGTGCAGCAATATGTTAGCACCTCATTGTATATTGCAGCACTGGAAAAGAAAACCTTGATGAACTCGGTTAAAGAGCACTGTTCTTTGTTTAATGAGGATGGCAAGAAGCAATCTATAACTGTCAACATGTTCTGCTGCCAGCTGGAGGAGAGACACTTGTGAGACAGATCCCAAGCAATAGCACTTCACTGGTTCAGAAATTTGTGGAGATGCTGACCATTACAGGATGGTTTGGGTTGGAAGCGATCTTTAAAACTCATCTTGTCCAACTCACCTGCAATGAGAAAGGACATCTCTAAACAGACCAGGTTGGTCAGAACCTCATCCAACCTGACCTTGAATGTTTCCAGGGATGAAACACCTCTATGGGCAGCCTATGGCAGTTTTTCAAAACCCTTGCTGTAAAAAAATTCTACATTATGTCTAGTCTAAACCAACCCTCTTTTGGTTTAAAACCATTATCCCTTGTCCTATCACAACAGGCCCTGCTAAAAATTTATCCCTATTAATAAGAAGCCGCCTTGAAGTGCTTAAAGGCTACAGTAAGGTTCCTCTGAATCTTTTGTTCTCCAGGCTGAACAGCCCCAATTCTCTCAGCCTGTCTTCATAGAAGAAGCACTCCAGCCTTCTGATCATAAGATCAGACAATTTGGTGCTCTCCACAGAAGCATTTCTACCCCTATGCTCCTTACCTGTATTTCCCCCCAAAGTTATTACAAAGGTAAAATGTGTTCAAAGATTAAAGCAATATTTTGGTGATCCTCTGACTGTATATAGTGAAATATTAAAGACAGCACATCTCCCTCCCTGGTGTCAAAAAGAAGAACAAAATAACAAAGCATGCTTCTGCTGTAGTTGATATTACTTCAGTTAAATATTTATATATAGACTGAAGTAAATATTAGGCAAACTACCAGTATAGACAAACATAAAGATTGAAAGATTGTGCCTCTTTCTGAGAGATAAAAAGGAGAAAGAGGCCATGTGGGCATCAGTGTCAGCTCAGTTCTGGATGAACTACACCAGATGTGCTGTTCATAGCTTGTTCCCTTTAATTTTTCTCAGTGTCTAGGGACACTGAAACTTCCATAATAAACATAAACTGAAAGTTTCTAGGCATGTCAGATTGCTGGAGGAAACCCCTTGACACCATAAAAGCACTCAGAATGGGATGCATGTGGAAGTCACTGTGTGTGACATCCTACCTCTTTTATGTTCCCAGTAGTCTGGGACAGACTTCCAACAACAACTCAGTGCTGTCTTACTTTTCCCTTGCAGTGACACTTGTTGGCACAAGTTGGAACTTCTCTCCAATCTGGAGAAGTTTACAATCTCATGGGAAGAAATTTAGGCTCCAAAGTTTATTGGACATCTCCAAAGTCTTTAGGTATCCCTTCTTGAACTGCTGTGGGCTAGTGGTAGCAGCTTTCAAGCACTCACATAGGAAATCCAGTCATGTCTGCTGAGGAGCTGTGAGAGCTGTGCCTTTTGGTTACTTATCAGGTAGAGTTTGAGAACAACGGAGCATAAAACTTAGATCAAGTTAAAGATCTACAAATCATTTATTGGCAAGGTAAACTGCATGACCACCTGCGATTGTTTATTACCCTTAAAACTAAGCAACTCTGAAATATTTTGCCTGTGTATCTCCCTTTCAAAGATGATCATTGTTGCCCCCTAGGCTGGAGATTTTGAGTCTGCTCTTGAGCCTGGGGCTTCCTTTTTGCACATCAATTCAAGGATGTTACCCATTGGCAGCTTGTAAAAGGATTATTGTGTTTTTTCCTCGTATTTTAAAGGATGGGCTGTCACAGAGACTATTTAATTTAACTTCTCCTTCTCCTTCTCCTTCTCCTTCTCCTTCTCCTTCTCCTTCTCCTTCTCCTTCTCCTTCTCCTTCTCCTTCTCCTTCTCCNTCCTTCTCCTTCTCCTTCTCCTTCTCCTTCTCCTTCTCCTTCTCCTTCTCCTTCTCCTTCTCCTTCTCCTTCTCCTTCTCCTTCTCCTTCTCCTTCATCTCCTTCTCCTTCTCCTTCTCCTTCATCTCCTTCTCCTTCTTCCTCACCATCTTTGCATTTCCATCCTTTCCCAGTTTAGGCTTATTATACAAGCAAGAGTAATTGTATTGCTCTATATGGTGCTTTGACTACCAAGTAGAAGCTGACTGGAAAGAAAATGGAATTAAGGCTGGTAAGATATTGCTACAGAATTACTAGAGTAAGAGATTTCACTCCAGTATCTGCTGCAGTACTAAAAAGGGTCACAAAACAATTTCGTTCATCCTAATAGCCTGGTATATTGCAAGGAACTATGTAAATATCTGGAGAGTTACAGATTTGTCCTATGTCATATCAGACGTGATAGAATCACAATGAAAGGATCATATTGCATTTCATGCCTGAAACTATTGGTTGCAACCTGAAACTTAGTTGCAAACAATGTGTATTGCCAGTGGTGTCTGCTTTTCTCAATGGCTCTACATGAAAGAAACTGGTTTTTCAAGACTAGTCCCGTGCTTCTTCCTATTTGTCCTCCCCTTCACAGGATCCAGATAAAAAACTTCCCCCGAGGCAGTCTCTTCCAGCCTATGATGGAGGGCAGAAGAATCATAGAATCATAGAATATCTGAATTGGAAGGAACCCAGAAGGATCATTAGCTCCGACTCCCTGCTCCTCACAGAAGCATAGCTGCATATAACTTTGCATAGCTGCAAAAGATTTCCGTTTGCTTTTAAATTATCTGAAATTTTTATTGTGACAATAAATAGGAACAATTAATACACTATTACAAAACTATGCAGAGCGAGTTGATCTGAAAGCTATTGCACAAGGAATCTGCTGAATATTTTAGTACCCAAGGCTTCAAACTTCAGTTTTTAGCACTGGACTCCCAGTCTTCTGCTTAATTTATTTTTGCTGCTAAGTCTGGTGATCCACCTTTATCAGGATGTTTCAATATCTTGCTAATTCTGTCAGCTGATTTGACTTTGTCCTTGTCAGCAAATGGACTTGCACCTAAAAGAAGACAAGCTGCTTGAGCACTTCTTTTCTGTTCAAATCCTGCTTTACAGTACGATGAAATACAAGTTCCAAAGGTGGAAACTGTACACCTTTGGTGTGGAACAGTTGCCACACCAAGTCCAGCTGCTGCCATAGTTCTGGCCAGCCCCAGTCTGGCTTGGCTCAGCTCTGCCAGCACCTGGAGAGTTCTGGCACCCTTGGCACATGCATGTCCTGGAGATGGCTGTGGCTCCTTCCATGGTGGAGGAGGCAAGGGTCAAGCACTCCAGACAAGCACGTCAGCTACCTCCACTCTCTCATGGAAGAGAAGAACCTGTCCTTAGAATCACAGAATCGTGGAATCACTGGGGTTGGAAAAGACCTCTATGATCATCGAGTCCAATCATTTTCCCAACCAGGTTCACCACTAAATCATGTCCCCACGTGCCACATCCACACACCTTTTGAACATTTCCAAGGCTGGTGATTCCACCACTTGCCAGGGCTTCCCAAAGCCTGGCCACCCTTTCCAGGAAGAAATTTTCCCTAGTATCTAATCCAAACCTCCTCTGGCACAAGTTGAGTCCATTTCCTTTGGGTCCTGACACTTCTTACCTGTGAGAAGAGACCAACTCCCACCTCATTTCA